CAGTGCTTTACTTCCTACTGGCCTCGAATGTCATCGCCCCCACTGTGCTCATCCTTGCGTCCTATCTCTTCATCATTGCCGCCATCCTGAGGATCCGCTCCACCCAGGGCCGCCTCAAAGCCTTCTCCACCTGCTCCTCCCACTTGATCTCTGTCACCTTGTACTACGGCTCCATTCTCTACATCTACTCTCGTCCAAGCTCCAGCTATTCCCTGGAGAGGGACAAAATGGTTTCCACATTTTACACTGTGGTCTTCCCCATGTTGAACCCCATGATCTACAGTCTGAGGAGTAGGGATGTGAAAGAGGCTCTGAAAATACTCCTCAATTTAACACAGCCAGAAGTCTAAATTGAAATCAATTTCTAGAAATCGGTGCTAAGGGATGATGGCTTGCTTAGCGGCAGGCCTGGGAATTTGTGATTTTTAGAAACCAAAGAAATCTCTTTTTTCCTATTAAAATAATCCACTGAGAACATTGTCTGTCTTTGTTTTAGATGCTTTGTGAGGTTTAGTGAGCAGACTCTACCGTGTACTATAGCATATACACAAATCAATGTCAGCAGTGAACTCAAATGGAATCTGACACACCATGAATCTGTCTGCTGCTCCACAGTAGAATTGTGCTCCCCAGGGTCTGCAAGGTCCATGACCTACCTCAGGGAGCCCTGGTGGTGTAGCAATTACACAGAGGGTTGCCAACTACAAAGTCAGCACGTGGAAAGCACCATGGGAGAAAAATAGGGCATTTCTACTCCCATAAACAGTTACAGAAACTCACAGGGGCTGCTCTATTCTGTAGGGGCACTATGACTCAGAATCAGCTTAATGGCAATAAATGTATGTATTTTGTATGTGTTCTTGTTGTTATGATCTGCCTCAGGGTAGGTCCAAAGCTATAACAGGATTATTGGGCAAGCACCTGACCATTCATGCTCCCTAGCGACCACTATATTTTATTTCTTTTACATAACTATAAATCTATTTCTACTCATAAGATTCTGGACACTGTAAGTCCTTACAGAAGCAAATAACTTCATTTTTCTCCCATATAGTGGACTGTGGTTTTGAACAGCCCACCTTGCAGTTAGAAGTCCAATACTTAACTCACAGGACTATCCAAACTTCTTTGTAAAATATCTAGATCTAGTTTAATATTCACTCACTCACTCACTTTAATTGAGTCTATTCTGACTCATAGTGGCCCTATAGAACAGAGTAAACTGCCCCTGTGGATTTCCAAGCATATAAATCTTTATAGAAGCAGAAAACTCTGTCATTCTCTAGTGAAAGCTGATAGGTTCAAACTGCTAAACATCTTATTAGCTGTTCAATACATTGCTAACTACTTACCACCTGGACTCCTTCAATTTTTTTTTTATTCTTAGTGATTTATATTTTTTAAAATCATTTTATTGGGGGCTCATATAATTCTTATCACAATCCATACATCCATCCATTGTGTCAAGCGCATATGTACATTTGATGCCATCATCATTCTCAAAACATGTGCCTTC